CAGTGATTATGGTCTTTTCAGTGCTAAGGCAATCAAGGTTTAGAGGCCTCATGTGAAGTAACCATGGTTATGCAGGGCGAGTGGCACAGTTTAAAGTAATCTACATTTGCCCTGGACTCATGATTCACATTTGTAATGCTGGTTCAAGTTGCTTCCTACCAATCAATGTGCATAATTCTTTCCTTAGTTGTTTATTGATTTACTCAATGAATTGAAGTGTAGCACTCATTAGTTGAGATCCTTACACAGTATCTTTAAAATTATCTAGATTCTTAGCTAGTACATACTGGCACAGTTGAATCACATTCAGTTAGTCTAAACTAATTTACACCAGAGGTTTCAAAATTCAATAAAGGCATGGGAAAATGGCCTTCTGAGTGATAATTCTGTTTCTTGGTGCACATGGTTCTTTCACAGTCCTAATTCTGACAAAATGCTAAGAGAAGCCAAATTAATTTTTGTTTTGTTCCATTTTTAAATTGGAATCTCTTTTTTTCCTTCACAAATTGTCTGTTATTATTATTCATTATGTGTCCTTTGATGAAAAATGATACATGAAGAATGGTTTCTATTACTGAATTATTTTTGCACATCATGCTTAATTCTGCAAATGAAGCAGATAAAGTCAATGAGGCTCAGTTAAGGACCAAAACTAATTCTGAAAGCTAATTATTTTCACAAGGGAGACTCTTGAAGACTATAAATTAGGAGGTTGCTATTCTAAGAAGTTTTGTCTTCAGCTGAGTTAGTTGTATCTCCAGGAGTGGGAGAGGAACAGTGATAGGGCTAAGGCCAACCTGTTCCCCAGCTGAAGGTCTAGCAGTTCAATTGGAGTTGCATAGCTATTTTTGAAACAGGCCAAAGTACTTTGATGTTTTCTTATCTGCTTCTTAAATAAAAATGCATCCATGGCACCACTTTCAATGCAGAAACAAAGGGAGGCACAAGACTCAAAATGTTTCCCATTTTCATTACTTCAGTGACTGAGATCAGCCTTTGTGTGGAGATTTATTTCAAAGACACTTTATTAATGTTGTAAACAAATCATATGAATCAGAACCACTCCTAGGGTAAAGTCTGATAACCTGTGATCCACTAAGCTAGAAGTAGACTTGATAGAATAAGGAAGGCAGAAGAGCCACTTCAATCTCAAAGTGAGTGTCCAGAGTGACCTGTGGTTCACAGATCCCCTTGGGACCATGTGAGGACCAGAAACATTATCAGGCCCAACTTTGGAGAGCAGTGTCCGATCCCAGCGTGAGTTTGGCCCTTTAGCTGTCTGTAACCTGCTCGTTCACCTCACTGATGTTTGTAAACCATTGTGTATGGTTTCTACTTCAGATAATTTTTAGAAGTACAAAAATGCATTTTTCTCCCTCTTTCTATACTGTCTATATGACTATTTTGAAGAGAATCTGACTTTCCACGTAAAGAGAAATTAAAATATTGTACCAAGCAAGCAAACATTTTTAAAACATGTCTGAATGCATCTGTTCTCCCCTCAGAAGTGGGTGTTGGGAATCTCTAGAGCTTCCTGAGGAAAGCAGATGTCTGATGCTCACAAGAACTTCTGGCACTTTTGAAGGTCTCAGGCTGTTATTCATTTTTTGACTTGTTCAGATTCCATAAAGACACGGGCAAAAAAGTGACACCCAAAAAAGCCACTGGGAGAGCATATAATTAATTGAGCCAAGGAAGTATGCTGTATACTCTGAGCAGCATGAACAGCTGCTGCATGTTTTGACATTTTGCATATAGCCCTGAAATAGTGATGGCTATTTCAAGCTTCTGCTGAGATACTGATGGTTTCAGGCAGAAATCATTTTATTCTGAGTTGCATTTGTCTAGGATGTAGTACAATGAGGTCCTCATTCATCACCAGGTAACAATCCGATACAGTAATAATAAACTTCATTTGTGACAGTTTTTCTCTGCCTTTCTTCCTTTTTCTTACCACTTCACTCTTACTGCCTCTCCCCTTCCTATTATTCCTTTTCATCGGCTTGCCAGGCAAGAAATATTGGTTGAGCTTTCTCTCACACACTCAACTTGCCACAGCACCTCTCAGCTGTAATGTCCCTGCCAGTGCTGCTGTTTTGCCCTCCTCACTCTGTGCCGCAGGAGTCCTCAGGCAGGCCAGGTGAGAGAGATCTCAGTGTTCCTTCATGTCACTGGTGCCAAACAGTCTCTGGTCCCTTCTCATGCTGACTTTCCTGAGGTTCTCCTATTCTTCCATTTCTTGCCCAAATCCTTGATGAAACCATTCTGCAATGCTAGGTAGCAACATTTGCTAACTGCATTGTCAGTTATACATCACATTAAGCCTCTTTTTGTATAGAAGGCATAATGTATGGTTTTTACCTCTGCTGTTGACCTGACCATTTCATGCAGCTATTGCAGTGTGTTGAAGAGGAATGACACAATGTGGTTGGCTCTTTTCTTCAGTTTACTGTCTCGTGGTTGTTTTTTTTTAATAGGCTCATCTGCTCCAGCAGCATCAGAATCTCAGAGCGCAAAGGAAGATAATTCCTGCAGGGGTATGGAGGAGAGTTGTTAGGTCATATTTGGGACTGGAAGTGGCCAGGATGATATTTTTCCCGTTATTTCCATGAACCATTAAAGTACCTGGTTTACAGCATATCGATCTGCATCTGTTGCTCCAGTTTTAGAGATGAAGGACTCTTTATAGTTGTCAGTCTTGGTTATTAATATGCTCAAATTCTTAAAGAGGGATATAATTTGCTTCCCAGGCTTTCTTCATGTACTGCACATCTTTGTGTCACCATCCCTGCTGTTCTGAGCTCAGCAGATGGCTCTTTGTAAGCAGGTGGTATTTTTTCTTGCTATTGGAAGAAATATATTTACTGCTCATTCTGGCACTCATGAAAAAATTGTAAACTTTAAAGAGATATATTAAAAATATAAATAAAATGCCTGTAAGAGTTATTGCCAAATTGATATTGGACCAAAGGCACCTATTCAAGTGATCAGCAGCCAGAAATGAAATGTACAAGCCAAGAGTATTGAAAGAACCATTAAGAATGTTAAAAAAATAAAAGAGGCAGATAAATCTCATACTGTGATGAATGATAGCCAAGGAACATCTAATCATATCTGGGTAGCATTTACTGAAATAACTCAACCAGACAAAAATGAAGAACATGAAAAAGATGGTGTAAAAATTATTGGAATGTTCTTTTTTCTGACAATTTTTCATTAATCTTCAAGAAGGAATAAGGATTTATTTAAAACAAATTAAATTAAGTGGTGAGCACTAGAATATGGTTCCTCTTGATCTTGGTATGGCTATAAAAACATAACATTCTCAGCAACTGCATATTAAGGGTTGTGGTGTGGGGGTGGGTTTTTTGCAGTTTTTTAACCACCTCTAATAAACCACCAGACAGAACAGTGGCTATGTTCAATTGGAAAATTGCTCGCTGCTGTAAGAAAATGTGAAATACATGAGACATCTAGCAAATGAACATACAAAAGATGCACAACAAACTATCAACACTATATCTGTAGGCTTCCATTCCTTGATTAACCTATCTGGATTTTTTGCTTTTAATGGCAACATGCCTAGAACTTCCTGGATATAATTAAGAGTGATATGGAGAAAGTGGCTCTGTGCATATTGTGACAAACTGACTTAAAAAAAGGAATGTTTACCAACAGATTGGACCAAAGCTTGGCTTCTTCATTGTACAAATACAAATTTCACAGAGTCTTATCCCAGCAAATGCTCATCTTTTCTGTTATGCCCTTTAAGGAGGAATAGCCTGCTTCATTTCTGCTTGAGCTGTATTGTTGTTATCAGAGTTATGGTAAGATAATCTAGTGACATAAAAGCTCTGTGGAATGTCTGTCCCATGAAAGAGAGAATATAAGAACATGTTTTCTCTGTGTGTAACCCATAAGAATAGATGGAACATGCCTTTTGTTTAAGCTTCACTCTGTAGTCAGTAAACACTTTCAGATTTGAGCTGGTTCTGGTACATACTTATGGATAGAGAACAGCTGACTTGAAAGTCAGAGCTGAATGAAATGAGATTTGGTTTTAGGACTTGAAATTTCAGTGCAAGCTGAGGTAAGGACTAAACTATTCATTTTGATTCAGGTATATCACATGTTATGAACACGCTCTAAGATCATAGAACGGGCCACTCAACGAGCAAAAAGTTATTTGTTATGAGCGAGCACGTGTCAACAATTGAAATACTTCTCTCTGCTTGCATATTAAATGGACTTCAGTGATGTGCTGTTGCTGGCTGGTCCTGTGAATGCTTACATACGTGGGTGCAATGTTCCTTTGGGGATCAATTCCCTTTTGCTGCTGGGTCGCTCCTACAGAGGCGTGACAGGGCAACTAATTGCTGTCAGTCATTTCTAACCGTACACAAACCACTCTGAACATAGTACTGGCACATGTGTTCAGCTTTCACAAACTCTCTTGTTGTAAGGAGATTGTGCTCAGAAAGTCTGGTGCCTCTGCAAAATCTTTGCTTTGTGTGCAGCCTCATTTCCTACCCATCTATCAGCAATCTAAAGCAATGATCAAGCAAAAATTGCATTTCTTATTTTCTCCTTTTTTTCCAGATTTCAGAAACACTGATCCAGAAACTGAACCAAAACCTGATTCATTTTGAGTTAAAGCCAGGGGTTCGAATCCTTGTCCATGCTGCCCATTTAACAGCAGGTCAGTATCCTCTTTCTTTGTACGCCCTCTCTGTTGCTCTCTAGCACAGCAAGCAACATATTCCCTGATGGTTGTAGTGTGCTATCAGCTGTATTTTAAACACCTCTTATTTTTATGTCACAATAACAACTCAGTGTATGGGCAGACATGAAAAGGCCTGCTTCACCTCCCCTTTCTTTATCATGCCAAAAAAATATAGTAGTTTTTGCATTTACAGCTAATCCTTTTGTTTACTTATGTGCGAGAATTTGCTGCTGTTGTTGGAAATGCAGTATAAGTAGCAGTAGAAACGTGTACTTGGCCGTCTCTGAAATATTCAACAGCTAAGCAGCACCATGGTGTATTCAGCCTGGATCACACAGTGCAAAGGTTACCAGCTAGCCTTGGATGTATTCAGATATTCTAGAGTCAATGAACATTCAAAGCAACTAAGCACAGCTCAGAAGTGTTCAGCAGTCTGAAAGACTAGAATCAATTTACATATGCACACACAGAAGATCAACTTTCAAAATTGAAGTTTGGACTTCAATTAATCCTATCTCAAAATGAGCCATCTCCAAAGTCCTGATATTTAATTATATGTGTCCCTGTCTATTCTGTATGCTAAACCCTCATTTCACAGCATAGGCACTATTTAGCTATTACAAGAGATGGGATGAACAAATCCGTGCTCAGGATTCTTAGGAATTTCTTTTCTTCAGGAGCTGTTGAAAATTCTGATCAGTTGGTATTGGCTTCTTTTGCTGACTTGCAAACTAAAAGCTTCAGTTCATTTGTACCAGCAAACTGCTCTACAAAAAGCTTTTAATGGTATGAACAGGTCTGCCCAAGCTGGTGTCAGTCCATGTGCTGCCTTGTCCATAAAGGGAAAGAAAAAGAGACTGTTAAGAAAGAGTAGACTGCATTTAAATCCCCCCAGAAGAAAGCCTTGGTGTTTGCAATATTTCATTTTTTCTAAGGAGAACTTGATAATATCTGCCATGGGAATATTGCTGCATGTTTCTGCTTTCCATTAGCTGTGGAACAGATGATCAGATGCTTACTTTTAGACATGTTAGAACCAAAAGCATAAAAATCCAGAGATGCAGCACAGCTGAGTAATCTCTAAAGAAAAAAACCGCAACAGCTTGAGAAGTCAGTTTGATTTTTTTTTCTCCTGAGGATTGCAAGAAAAAAAAAAAAGTAATAGACATATGACACAGAAGAATTGTGTGACTTTATATTTAAGATTTAAAAGAATATATGTTTTACATAATATTTTTTGTCAGGGAAGCAATCCTTGGACTGAATTTTTAACAATGACCAGTGATACTATATGTACTTTCAGAAATGTTCAGTGCCCATCTCTTAAAAAAAGTGTATTTGAAAGCATCTTATTGTGAGCTTCGAACGTGGAGTTATCTGTAATTGCTCATTATTTTTGAAATTAGTTTCTAGGCATTTACTCTGCCTATGCACATGGCTGTTTTCCATTTTGGTCAATGTTCACTAAATTCAAGATCAAATTCCAAATGAACATTTAGACATGACTACTCCGGCCCTGAATATCTTGTAGGCCTTTTCTAAAAAATCATCGTTAGAAAGAATCATGTTAGATATTCCTGGGAAAGGCTCATCTTTACCTCTTGCTACTGAAGAGACACTCCTGATTTCATGTAGTGGAAACAGATGCCACTTAAAATCACATCTCCAGCCTTGCCTTTAATACAAGATGAATCTGGATCCAAGTTTTGTGCTTTACGTAGGAGCCTCCTGCAGCTTCTTGGAGGGTAATTCTGGGTGTCTCTGCATGACAGAGTGCACAGGGTCCCCAGCTGCTCCGTCAGTGCTCAGAGCTGGCAAAAAGCTCCAATCCCAAAGCCAGATAGTCAGCGGAGGTACTGTAGCACTTTTCTGGGCTACTAAACCTTGTCTGCTGCCCTGAATGAACCAAAAGACAGGGTCTATTAGTGTGGCATACTGCCGTGCCAAATAATGGTATGGCCTCTGAGCATGTGCTGACCTGTTTGTTGCTAGCTCAGGCTGAAGCAGAGGGTGCTCAGCTCAGACATGCTGTGTAAATACATGATCTTCGTGCTTGCCGAAAATGCACATTTTTATTTGTATTTACACACACCAGGAATGAGTACTTTTTGTCCATAATAGATGCAAACACTCATTTGCCCTGCAAGGCAGGCTTTGTTGTACTTCAAGGCTGCTGGTAAGATGCGAGTGATTGCTGTAACTGGCTTCACAATGTCCTATAGGAACATTACAGGATTTTGCCTCTTGCACAAATATGATTCAGTAAGAATGCAAAATGAGCCTGGACTGCCAAACTAGATATTAAAAAGCCCAGAGAGCAGCCACTGTGAGGTCTTTGAGGGAATGTGGCTCCTTATCGAGATGCAGTGGTCATGACTCAGTTCCCTGTCTAAATAGCCCAATTTCTTGACATCAAAACTTGGGACTAGTTTAGAATTTGACAAAAAGCCAAAAGAGAGATTTACTTCTCTGCTGAAAACTGTTGTTTTGGTTGTCAAGGAAGAAGAAGAATTGTCCTGTTGAAATCCAAGCTTTAATAAAAATTAAATAAAATAAAGCAGGGAAACCTGGAACACAAGCCAGGACCAGAAGCAATCCCTAGAAAACACAGTCCAGGGGGATGCACATGGCCCAGAGGTGCTGCTCTGGTCTGTGGTATCCCTTCTTTCCCAGCCTTTTCACTATGACTCTATGTTTGACTCCTGGCAGCTATGGGCTGTAGCTGACTGAACCCTAGAGCTCAGCATGTGTTTGTGCATGTATGTATAGTACATATATATAGCATGCATATGTATAGCAAGTGCACACGTATGTATACGTATGCCTACATATAAGTTCCCATGCATCAGTGCACATGTGTGTTCCTCCCTTTGTGTGTGCCTGGTCATGCACAGCAGAAATTTCTGCAGCAGAGGAGTTGCAGGGAACAGAAGTGCAGGTATCTAAACTAGCTTGGTGTGGATATTTAAGCATAGCCTGTAGAAATGAGCATGTGTGTGCAAATGCGTGTTGCATGTGAGCATGCACGTTCCCTGGAGCACAGAAGAGTGACAGGCGTTGGGCTCAGCACATTTCACACCTCCGTCTTCTTTGTTCAGGCCACACTGGAGGAAGGATTAATTTATGGCAATTTTGGACAACAGATTTCGATGCATTCATCATGTTCATTCCTTCTTCTCATGAAAGAAAAAATGAAACAACATCCCCAATCTTACAGACAACAACCTCAACTCTAAGGCAGAGTAAAATATGCCAATATTCCTCGCAAAAGCAGTTAAATACCTGTTTATTACCGGACTCTCAGTGCAGCATTATAACAAGAACATTGAGTGATGCTGAGCTTGAATCAGTCGGAGAGCCACTTTGTCATCCCACAGAACTGCAGAGACCCACAAAATACAGATGTAAAGAGGACAGAGTGGAGATGTGTGAGGAATTCATAATAAGGGATCATTTCACCCCAGTGCCCCACCTTGCTGACAATAGCCTGCTTGATGTGGGAAGAATTTTTTTCACTTCTCTTTGTAAATTTTGGCTTTATCAGGATGGGTGTGACAGCTGAAAATGTATGTGCATGTGATGTGTGTCCCTGAGTAAGTATTTGCTTGCGTGTGCATGTTTTCTTGTGTCCTCTGGCTGTAGGTTAGGATGAGTCTGTTCAGTGCATAAGAGGGAGAAGAGGCAGAGGATGTGTATGACCGGTTCAAGTTAACTTTCATTGCTTTGCAGAGGAAGGCACTACCTACTACTTGTTCTGTATGTGATGCCAGATAGAGACAGTGAGGATGTATCTATCTGCTGTGTGCGTTAGCTCTGTGTAGTGGCACAGCTACAGCTGCATACCTGTCTATAGTATGTTTTATTAATGTCTGCATGAACAGCTGAGACTGCTGGATCTATGTGTGTCCCTTTGGGGATGCTAAATGTCTTTCTGTGTGTGTGAGTGATGGAAACTCTCTCCATGTAATAAAATTTACTTTGTATTTCTGGGAAAGCCACGCTTCTGGCTGGTTTGTGTGGCCGTATTTTGCAAGGGGCTATAAACAGGTGATCAGCAAAACTGAGAAGCACAGAGAGACTATTTGTTTGATTAGGGGGTTTGTTGGTTTTTTTTTTTATTGACCCTGTGCACTCCCTTGCATGGAAGACTTGTGGGAGAGAGAGCAGGGCACCAGGGGAAAGAAAGTAGAACATGTTCAGAAGAGTAGGAAGGGGATAAAGGAAGAGACTGAAAATGTCAGACGTGTGAGAAGAGCTTGCCATGATAAGGCATGGATGCTCAGGTAGTGTCTGTGAAGGGCACTCGACTTTTGGTCGGGAAGGAAGAGGACAATGGTAAGTATTGTTGCTTAAATAAAATTGAGGACCCAATTGCTCATTATTCACTATGCATTGGGAGCTACCCAAACTAGCTCTATGCAAAATAGAAAGTCAGCATGACAAGTTAGCCCATGGCTAGCTCCAGGATCATCCAGAAAATGCTAGTTTTGTACCCAAGTGACCTCATTTGCAACTACCTTAGGTAATTGTCTGCAATATGAAAAAGTGTGTTTCAGGCAGTCCTCTAACAGGCTAGAGAAGAGACACCTCTAAGGAGAAGCTATGGGGCTTCACATCAAGGGATGGGTTGAGCACTACAAGTGGTCTGAACCCAAGTTTCTTCCCAGCTGGATTAGAAAGGGGGAGAAGTCCTGGAGATGCATGGACAGATGAGGCCTGAGGGCAGCTCTAACCTTCTCTCCCTCTCTTGCAGCACCCCTGGTGGACCTCACTCCCAGTCACAGTGGTTCAGCTATGCTGATGCTCCTCTCTGTCGTTTTTGTGGGACTAGCTGTCTTTGTAATCTACAAGTTCAAAAGGTACAACTCTCCCTGAGCCATTTCCTTCTCCCCATGGCCACCTTTCACTGAGGTGTCTGGGTTTTGTTTTGCTGGGTTTTCTTTTTAGCAGTGATTTGTTTCTCAGTTTGTAAAAGCTGATGCTACATCAACTGCCAGAGTACCCCACAATGATGGTTTCTGTTAATGTTTTAGGAAGATTCCTGGCCTTAATATATATGCACAGATGCAGAATGAAAAAGATCAAGAGATGGTCAGTCCAGTCAGTCAGAGGGAAAGCATACCTAATGTCCCTCAAAGTGAGCTGATGAGCCCTGAGCAACTAGTAGATGAGAAGTTGGAAGTCCAGCCCATAGGTAAATAACTTGCAGCATCCCGCAGCTGGTCAGACTCTGACTTATAATTGGCTAACCCTTTTCTCAGCCTCCCCCCTTCCCATATTCCTGCACACTCCTCCTCCCATCCTCTTCTGCTGCAGCATTAGTTTTGCTACAGGAAACCTTTCTAACTCTCCCCTCTCCCTCACTGCCATGTGATGAAAGGGAGGGGAACAACTTTAGGCTTTTTCTCTCTCCTAGTTGCTCTATGTAGTTCCCTTCCCCTTCTCAAAAATCCTGCCGGCACTTAACTTGCGCTATAAGGCAATTTAATTTATTTTGCTGGGGCTCATGTAGTTGCGGGGCTAAACCCCACACCTGAGGCATATCGAGGAGAACTTCCGCCACCCTCACCTGGAACATGGAGGTGAGCAGGTGATTCGGTAAGTCAGATCTAAAAGCTAAATATTCATTGGTGTTTTGACTGCTGTGGCCTTTGTGCTGTGCCAGACCTTGTTGCCAGCAGCGATGCTAGCCCAGGTGATTTCCAGGGAAATCGAGCAAAACCTGGGATGTCAGCACTGGGCAGCTGGGTTTGCCCTCAGGCTGATTTCCCCCACAGCCCTCTCTGGTTGAAAATTTGCAAAGCCTGCTTTCCTAGGACCCGAAGTGAATAGACTTAAAGTGGGCATACTGGGATCAGTCACGCATTTGTTCATGCTTGTATGTTTTCTGTTACCCTGACTACAGTAAAAGTGTTGGGATGGAGCAGGGAGGTTTCAGCCTGGGGACATGTTCTGCTAGAGCCAGCATTGCTCAGGCGTTGCTCAGCTTCACTTGCAAGGTGACAATTCTGCAGGCCCAGACCAGAGGTACAGTACAGGACCCCTGCCAATAAGGACGTGGACCTATTTTAGAGGAATTAAAAGTTTATAGCTGTTTTGACTTAGGCAGGAGTGAAACATAGTCATAACTGAGATCCCTTATTTGCACAATTTCATCAGCTTAACCCATCCCTCCTGAGGATGTCCCTAAAATGTAGGGGAGTGTTTACTAAAGCAGGCATGGAGTCATAGCTACTGCAGAGAGGGAGCAAGGGGAAGGGCAATTAAAGGAGGGAGTGTGATGTGCTAAGATTGTGGCCTGTGAAACAACCTGGGAGGAAAAAGAAGAAAGTCTCTTGATGAAACTGTTGTCTAAGCTGGAAACCCCACTGCAATCAATACTGATGTCTCCTCACCCGTTCACTAAGGAGAAATCTGGTAGCTATTAAAAGCTTTTAAGCAGCTATTCGTCAGCAGACCTGGATATCCCTGCTTAGCAGAACACAGGATGGAGTGAGGGGACCAACCTTCCCATGTGGTGTTCCCCATACAGAGCAACCCCAGGCCACAGTCCAGAACCCAAGGAAAGGAAATGCAACCAAGGTAGTCTGGACAGAGGACTTCCAAAAGGCTTGTGGATCACCAAGAGGTTTCAAGCCAAGACCCGGAGCGGTGGGTCCTAAACTTTAACAATTCTTTTTTTTTGTTTGTTTTTCTTTCTTTTTCCCCCAGAAGCCTCCAAGGCAAAATTGATGTAAGATACTAAGGGAAAAACACCCAATTTCAGGCCAGGAGCTCTGTTCATAGAGTTAGATGGACTTTGAACTTCTCTTTTCTAAAAGAATGTAATGACTGTGGTTCACACTGTTCCAGAGGTAGGGAAGCACATATTTTCACAGGTCACTCAGACTGAAGTGGCAAGGGTCAGTCACCTGCTAGCTCTGTTCAAGGTGTCTTCAAAACTGCTCTTGCTGGTGTTGGAAACTAATGCTTTGAAGCCTCTAGGATAAGAGCAGATATAAAAGCCAGTTTTGGGGATAGGTTTTCATTTGGTGCAACTATAGCATTTCTGGCTTTCTACAATAGCCAGCATTTTGTGTGTTTGTCAGCTGTGCTACTGGACACTGTATTGAACCAGAAATTGGCCTTTTATAGCTCCTTGGTTTGCACCTGTAACTGCACTAGTGAGCACAAAAGGTAAATGTGTGGGATACATAGACTCAATTCTCTATCGAAAGGAATCAGTCCAACAAACTTCTGAAGAGTGTTTTTCCATCCTGTCAGTAAGATGAATGAGGAAACTGAATCGGAGCTCATTGACAAAATGAAAAGGTCTGGACCTAGGTGTGAACAGAATAGAAAGTGCAAAGGCTCTTCACTCTCCTATACAACCACCTCATCTGTTTCTGGAAATCAGCAATTTCTTTTTTAATGAGTTTTCTTTCTTTTGGGAAAACAAAGCAAGACTGTAATTGGGTGTTTCTCTTTTGTATGCTTGTTCAGAAGCCAGGTTTTTCTCAACCCCTTTGACAAACATTCAGGGATCCTTCCTTGGAGGAATCTGAATGAATGTCCCTGGATCATTTAACATTCTCTCCAAACTCTGGCAGCAAAAACCCACAGTTCCTATTTTCTGGATGTGAGTGGTTTAGGCTCTTCTTTTGCAAATGCAAAGCTTAAGGTTATTTATGAAATCTCCAACACCTTATCATTGCAAATGAGTTACACATTTCCTCTGAGGACCTGGACCCCTCCTTCCCTCCATCCCTCTGCTCTGGCCTCTCCCTCTTCTGTTCAACATGGGTGAATCATCTTCATTAGCAAAAGAACAGGACATCACCTTCAGTGTTTTGAATGACAAGAAAACATTTCTGGGAAGAACGTGTCAGTCTGGAACATTTGAATCCCAAAGGCCAGCAAGGTGATACCTTCAAACATCTTCCTTGGCTAAACACACTTGTTATTTACTGACTCTCTTATTTTGTTCTTTCTTTGCCACAGGAAGTATTTCCACAGCTGCTGAGCCCCAGAGCGCAAAAGAAATCCCTACCTATGTAAATGGTTGAATCGAGGACACCAGTATATATCTGTATCTAAAAAAAAAAAGAGGAGAGCTCACTGCATTTGAACTTTTTAATTCTTCAGATGACAAAGGGTTTTTAGCTTTAAGCCTGTGCATGTGGACATTATACTGAGACCATACTGGAACTGCATTGTACAGGTGTTCAATTTTAGTGGGGGGTGGGGGAAGAGGAACTGGAACCACTATTCACTCCTGCGGCCCTTACCCTCACCCCTCCACTCTCTTTTTTCTGATCTGTCTCTAATTTGTAGAAAATTCATAATGATATAGGCCAAGAATATGCATGGGGGTCTCTTCTTTAGGGAGAGGGATGGGCTGGGATGTGGGGGGAGAAGGGCTGGGGGAGGTGGGAGGGGGCATTTAGGGTTCTTGGCTTTAGATTTAACTGCTCTTTTAGCACTTGGGCTGCGGACTTTCATACAACACACAAAAAATCACACTGGAGTTTAAAGGCACTGAAAATATTCTTGGTCAATCTGATTTATGTCTTTGTTTGGACTCTGCCCTTCATTCCTCTAGTTGCAGCTGCTGCCTGTGCCCCACAGCTGCGAGGAGGCTTTCTTAAACAGCTTTTTTAGCCTACTCACACCAAGGCACCCCACTGATAGCACTGTTGAAAGATAACTTCCTGCCTCCTGACCTGGGACGAAACAGAACTAGCATGCATTACGGAAGGGAGGTCTGTCCATACTGCACTTGCAGGAGGTTATTGCCAGCATGAACTTACACTGTACTTTGTACCAGCCTTACACCTTCAATTTTGGCTAAGAGAAAGCCCTAGTAACACCCTCAGCTGCATTTAGTGCTGATGTTTGGATTTTTCTGGGGAAGTCCCAGGAGATCTCTGCCTTTTGGGAGTCACCCCAAGGACTAATTTTTTTTGAAAGACACCTTTTCTATAGAATAGGGAGAAGGGAAAAGTCTACATGCCGCCTTGTCAAACCCCTTTGGCTGCAGATCTGCAAACTACTACCACTCTGGGCAGAGGAGGGAGAATAAAGGCAGATTTGGCCTGAGATTGTTGCCAGGCATTTTGAGCCCCAGAACCACAAAACCACTCTTGTACAAGATTTGATTTCTTACCAATAACAAGCTTGTATCTTTCATTGCAACTAGAAATGAGGCTGCAGGATGTGTTCACGTGGACTATGCAAGGGAACAGCAGGAAAGCAGGCTTAGCGTACTTCAAACAGGTCATCCCAGGACACTGGATATCTGGCTGAAGCCTAACCTATGGTCATCACAGCTGTTGTTTTCCAACCCAACTCAGGTAAACCTAGCACCAGGATTTTGGGTTGAAATGCAAAGAGAGAAGAACAATAACCAATATATGCTTAACTACGTTAGGTGAAGGCGAATAGAGGGCAGTACATAATAAGTGTAGCACACTTAGGAGGCACCCCAATTCCTGACGTGAATGGATTTTGTTCAATAGACATTGCACCTGAGTTAAAAACAGGAGAAAGCAGCGTTGTTGGCATTACCCAGAGTCCTGGGGTGGGGGTTTGGTGGTTGTGATGGGTTTGAATTTCTCTGTCACAAAATGGGCATGAGCCCCAATCAACCTACTTGCTGGCAAAGAAAAAAAATGTGAGAACATTAGACCCGTAGTATCAAAGGATAATCACAGCACAGAGTCCTCTGCGTCTTTCTGTAGTTTTTCTGAAGGCAGGTAGAAACACAGCAGTTTGTATGGCTTTGCTATTGTGTTTGCAACTACAGCTTTAAGAAAGATGGGAAAGTTTTGGCAGCAACTGCATAATACTCCCCACTGAAGTCCAACATTAGCCAACTTATTTTTATAGTAAGCCAATCAAAAAGTTTTCTTAGAGTGTTGGAACTATTTCTAATTTTGAAATTACTTTTTTTGATGTACTTTTTTCATCTTCTTTTTCCCTTTCGTTAAATACAATGTAGCGTAATGTATAATTGCTATTGTTTATTGCTTTTACAGTCATATTTATTAAACAGATTATGTCTCTAAATGAAGGCCTGTGGTTTTGTTGCTCATTTTAGCTCTCTGTCCCTGACTGGGATCACTAACAAATTAGGAAGGAAGGAAGATAACTTCAAAAAGAAAGGGGTGTTCAGTAGAAGTGGGAGAATGCGGTGATAGTGTGCTTCTGAAAATATAGTTCTTAGAAGCAAGATGCCAATATGAAGGTAACTTTCTCAGCCCTCAGGCAAAGGGCTTTATAAAGTGAAGCTTGGTATTGTGATCTCCATTTTATGGATGGGGAAGCCGAGGAATGCAGAGGTGCAATGCTGTTTTTCTGGTTTCCAGACAGTCAATGGCAGAACTCTGAGCAGCTCCCTGGAACTCCAGCTCTATTCCCTGCCCATGGTCATCCTTCCCCATACACACTCTCTGTTAAAGGTTCCTTTAAAATATCTTTTTGACTACCCTTTTGCCAACATTGATAAAGGAAGGTCTAAATTATTCACATCACTGCTTAATCAGGTTTTACATGTGAAGAAATTGAAGCACAGGAAGTCTCTGTCAGCTTTCCAGATGACAGTGGATGCATGTTGCTCAGAAAAAGAAAGAGGATGTAACTCCTCTGCTTTTCAAGTCAGGAAGCAACCAGCGGATTATTCTGCCTCTTATAACTGGCTTCTAGGTCAGTTCTCTAGCCTTTTTTGTACCCCTGGCACAGGAATTTATATACACACATAAATAGTCAAAGACCTGGGGTTCAGACATCATCAACAACCAAGACCATGGTATTGCACGTCAAGTCCAGGAATGATGAGTTTGCTTATTGGAGGAGTGTGTGGTTTTCACACCCTGGGCAAATCCCAGTATAATTACAATTACCAGCCTAAAATGCTTAAGCAGACACTGCAGCCTTTCTTCACCTTTCATTCAGGCTTGATGAATGGCTGGTGCAGCTATGGCCAGAGTGCAGGTGACTCAGAGATATGTGTGTAGATGTAATCTGCTTTTATAGTTTTAAGTGCCCACCTGAATTATCAGGCATCTGTTCTGGCCATAAACAGTAAGTCTGATTTTGGCAAGCATCTCTAAAGCATTTTCAGATCATTCTCTTCAGCTTGTGTGTGTCCCCAGGCAGAGACTGATTGTTATTTGTAGTTGTTGTTTTCTGGTTTGTATAACACCACAGTGATGCACTGCTAATCGCTGAACACTCAGGCAATAGACAAAGAGTATATCAAATACTTACAAAATCCAATACGAATTTTCTCAGAGGATATTATCATACCTTGAGACAATAAAAAAAGTTCATTATCCTTTGTCAGAAAGAGCAAGGAGTAAAAATATGGTTAAAAACTCAAATAAAATATTTTCCTAATTTGATGTTGATTCTCTGCTATCATCTGAACTGCCAGAACACAGACATATGGATGGGACAGATATATTGGCTTCAGAGAGATTTATACTTCTCCACCTAGCAGCACATTTAAGCTAAACTGCTGGATTGTGTTTCCTGGAAATCAGTAGGTGTTGGTGTTTAAATACTTTTGAGGATCTGGGCCTCAAACAATTGCTTGCCGTTAATGTGTGGCTACGTTTAATTGCTTAAACTTTTGCTGGAAAGCAAGACCCTTAAAGCACTTGCCGAAATGCTTATGCAAATGAAGCAGGAATTTCCAGTGACCCTAAATGTACCCTGTCTTGGTCCTGTCAACTTCTACTGAGAATTTCTGACAATTGCATTTAGCCTGGTACCTAGAGCTCATAACAAGGGATTAGTATTTTATCTGTGTGCTGTCATCTCTCATTGAATGCATGGAAAGTTTCCTTGCCATATTATATCTCTAGGTACATTCAGTGTTTGACCGTCACCCCTTGTTGCAGAGCTACCATGTTCATGACATTTAAAAAAAAAAGAAAAAGAAAACTTTATTTTCTCTCAGTTAATGAGATGCTGTCCTTGCATTTCTCCATAAAACAGAATAATAAAGCACGTGAATAAATAATACTTGAGCTAGAACAGATCCGTTTTTAAATTAATGTTGGTATGATCCTGGCCATAATACCCAGAAGAAAAGACTGAAGTCAAATTGTTTTCTGAGTGACAACATCAAAGTGCTATCATGTACCAAGTCATGAGTCTAAGAGATAATGTTTCATCTGCAGTTTTAACTTTAGCTTTTTCCTTTCCCTTATTTCCTTTTGGGGAGTATGGTTATCTATTACTGTTCCCTGTGCTGAAAGCAGGACCTAGAAGAAAGCTGTGGTGTTATATATTTATCAATGTGAGAACTGCAAGATGTCTTCCCTGTTGTTTGTGTTGTGGTACAGCCACCCCAGTGCTAGGTGCTGTATGCACATGGGCAAGAGAGGTGACATTGTAATTGGATAAAATTAACAAAATATAAAATTAGCAAAATAAGGGAACAAGTTTTCTCACCGCTATGTTGCAGATTGAGTCTTACATTGTAATCTTAGCTCATTTTCACAAGTGGCCCTTAACCAGACCTTCTCTATAGGAAAAAAAAAAAACCCTCAGCACTATGTATGAGAGCTCTGAATGAGATGGACAATCCAGCATCTTGCTTTGGGCAACCTGGTCTAGTGGATGGTGTCCCTGCCCACGGCAGAGGGGTTGGAACTAGATGATCTTTAAGTTAAAAGTTCCTTTCCAACCCAAACCATTCTATGATTCTCAGTATCACTAACAGTAGCCAGGATATTGCTTGTGTTGTGTTTCATATTCAAATTGATTGTATATAAGGATCTAAACCATAATCATTTGTCTGACCTGTGAGGTGTGGTATCCACCAAACTGCAGAGAAAATAAGCTACAATCTCAAAGTTCTGGAGTTTTTATAACCTTTTATGGAGAAACCCTGAGAGAGAAGGGTGCAAGAGAAGGGCTGTAGCAAAGCTGTTAAGAGGAGAGTCACGACTGACTGCCTTCAGTATAACACAGAAGCAAGAAAAAACCCTCCCTTTTTGTCACAAAATTCTCCTCCAGAATTCCCTAGACAAAGCTGGATATGGCAGCGTTTCTGGGACTGAAACTGCCCTGGCAAATAATTGCTCCCCAGCCCGAAAGCGTGGGCCGCTCGTCCCATGGACCGTGTCATTCCTTATCGTGCCCCCCATAGGCAGCTGGAGGGCTGAGCTCTGAAACACCCATTGGACTGACAGCTGCCTCCGCTCTTGCCGCTTGCTGCGAAAAGATGAATAATGCATGCAGCACATTTAAATGTAGTGTTACAAAGTGCTTTAAGGGAGAAACCCTTCGATTATTAACCCTGCCTGCATTGGAGGAACATCTTTATTCTGTCAGTGCAGAGAAAGC